ATGGTTGACTGGTAGAGAATGCCTCAGGCATTAAGTCCGCCAATGCACCAAATGTACATGATGTGTAAATAAATAAATAAATATCCTGTATATTATATAGGATGCTTACCTATATTGCAAATTATTTCTGTTTAATTTGCCGCAAATTGCCGACGTTAGTCAGAAATAAACATGTCTGTCCCTTGCAATAGCAGCTTATTTATATCCCAACCAGCCAAAACTATCATTTGTAGAGACCTATAGTATCTAATTTTGGCAAATAATAACGTCACACTTCCCTTTAACACAAATAGTCCGCATACTTGTTGCAAAGTTCAAGCAAAAACGACAAATATTCTTTTAATGTCAAATACAAGTGGTAAGTAATAGGTGGAACTAATAACTGGTTGCATAAAAATAATTGCAGTTTAAGGCTAAGGCAAAACGTGGTTGGTGTCATGTTTTTTTTTTGTGTTGCGTAAATTACGTTGTAAATTGCGAACACAGTGTGCTACATCGCGTAATATATACTATACGCTATTGGCTCGTGCACGTAACAGTGGGTAGGCCTGTATGACGTTTTACTGCTGTGAGTTAGAAGAAACACGGCAATGTCACGAATACTTAGAAGGGAACGAGGTCTTTCAAACAGGGCCTTTTATGTTAGCGCACAAGCCACTGTCATCCCATCGACACGCTTTTGAGATGCTATCGACATCGGTTAAAATATCGGTATTCTACTAACATAATTCACAGTGTCAATAGGCCGTCGATGTAGAGACAATGGCTCATCAATGGTGATATAAACAAGATTGCCATATCCGGAAAACTAAATATATCATATCTTTACAAATGTAAAATGTATGGTTTACCAAACTATTACAAAGACATTGATGATATTTGTATCAGTGGCAGTTCAGTGATAAGACATCGGAAGGCAATTGGTCTCACATAGTAGAATACGAAAAGTGCAAAACTATTCCGACAACATTCCATCGACAGTCTATATTGATACAATATTAAAATAGCAGAATTGGTATCTATAGGAGTTAAAACGAACAGAAGGGTCATTCGCCAGATGACTAACTTAAGAGTCACAAGTTTGTTTCCGCCTTTTGAGTCCCTCGTCCTTCGCGAGAATCACGATTAAAGAATACTGCAAGCAGAAGGCAATAGGAACACCTCAATTAATTTTAATTTATTAGAGAGGTTATCGCATTGGTTCCAGAGGTCATCGCGTAAATGCCGCGGCGGTGGCGTGAGGATAGACAAACCCGAGTCGTGTCGGGTTTGTGGGTTATAAAAAAATTACTTCACCCGCATCATAAATGTAACATCTTAAAGTACAGCTTGAATTGTACTCCATTATAAAATTAAGGGTTTTATTGATTTGATATCTTCAAATCAACATGAAATTATTTTTAATAATAGCTATGTATGACGTCACGCCATGGTATTATTTCATATAAAAATGTACCGCATCTGTCGTTTTAACTTTTATTGAAAAGATGCTGATTTGACTTGTCAGTCATCTACCCTATTACGTCTATAAAGACTGACCCTAAACAATAGACCCTAAAAATAGAAGTACAATTCTGAATATTACAGTCACGTCTTTATCCGCGAATTGGTATTATCATCAACAGCCTTTACTAGTCCACTGCTGGACATAGGCCTCTCCTTAGAAAGGAGGTTTTGGCCTACTACACCACGCTGGCCAGACGGGTTGGTATAGGGTTTGTGTCAAGTTTTCCTTCTCTCTGCAGTGCTGTTGTCCTGCGTACTTTGCTCCCTTAGTCGCCTCTTACGACACCCACGGAATGAGTAGGGGTGGTGACACTCTGTATTCTTAATCCATCACCACACGGATTCGAATTGCGAATTGGTATAAAAGCGGCATATTAATGTTAGCAACAAATATCCGTAGTTCAAAGAAAACACTAGCTAGGTAAAGTTTTGAAAATTGCTTGAAACCAGCGGTAGCAGTTAATTAAACGAAAGGATAGCCGGCAGATATCGTAGGTATAATATAGGAACGTCAGCCGTGTAACGTACTACCTGCACAACAAAATTTTTCATCATTTTAGTTTTTTTTTTTTTTTTTTTAAATTGCCTGTTATATATCAATGGCAAAAAAATTGTTACCTTGCTTACATTATACCGAAATAATAATCAATTCTGTGTTGGTGACTGTTTGTTTGTAAATTAAAAATACTTTTGTCATACTTTAAGTAAACCCTAATGTATTTTTTTTCTTTTTTTCACGCATTAGGAATATACCCTGTGTCGCGGGGGACTTTACAAACTTACATGAAACGGACACACAGAACACCCAGACTCAGAACAACAATTTATGTATCACACAAAGTGTCGTCCCATGTGGGGATCGGACCCACAACACTCAGCGTAGTAGTGAGCGGCGTGGCGACCGTTTAAACCATTACGCCATCCGTGCGGTCATACTCGTACTTGATACTAATACACACTCAATATTATTTTTAAAGGTAAGTACATATTACTAGTTCAAACATAACTATTTAAATAGAACAATTATTATCAAGTGTGATATGAGGGCAAATCAACTTCAAATGACGCCCTACTTAGAGGTCATTTAAGTGTATTCATACAAGTAGATATATAACCAAGGTAGATAAATAACAAAGACTGATAATGATAGTTTAATATGAATTATATTATTTAATAATAAATTACATAAAATATTTATTTACTGATTAATGTTATCAATTCATATTTGCAGTAATACTTCAGTAAATCAATGTTTGTATGTTTCAATTTTTTTTTATCTAATAGGTATGTATTTATTGTATGGCTATTTTGCTATTGTTTTCTATAGAAGGCTAAGAAGAGATTTTTACAGCTGCAATTTACAGCATATATTTACAAATTTCTTGTCAGTACTTTATTAGCGACTGTACGGATGGCGTAGTGGTTTAAACGGTCACCTCGCCGCTTTGTTCGGCGCTGAGTGTTGTGGGTTCGATCCTCACATGAGACTACACTTTGTGTTTCCGAAAATTACAATTTCCGAAAATTTCCCAGCGACACAGGATATATGCCTGGCGCCAGTCATTAAAAAAAAATTTGTAAAAATGGCTGTACATTATAGAATTGTGTACAGAATTGAATGATTATTTTTAGGGATAACCTCTACATTTAAACTTTACTAATAAGGTTTATTCTAAAAAATTAATGCAGGTGACTGGATTTATTAATTTATTGTTCAATATACACAGTTATATAAAATAAAGTCAATTAAAACTTAATTAAAACTTAATCTTACATATGTAGTAAGATATCATTAATTTAAATGAAATGAACTGCTTTTTAAATTAACTTAATGCAGAAAAGTTAGTCCTGTCAACATAGCACGTGGTATGTTTTTTTGTTATAAATTTATTTTTATCTAGGTAGGTTTATTGTCTATGCATTTTATTCAAAATGTGTTTGATTTTTTTTTCTCCAGGCATGCGTTAAATGTTAAATGCTTTCCATAGAAATATGAAATTTGTTAATATTAAAAAAAAAAACAAAATTTGAAATAATTATTAAAGATTAGAAAAATATTTAATTGATATCAATAAAATTGGAAGTGTTGGTACATCCTTTAGACAATAGAAATGTTTACCATTTCTAAGAATGTTTGCATGTAAGTGTTGTTTACAAAAATGACATACTACCTATACAATTTTGGTATTTCTATCTACATATATACCTAACTTACATTAGGTAATCTATACCTACATAAAGATGCATCTTATGTGAGTATGATTGCATTTTGTACAAGATAAATGTCAATTTATTACCTACGGCTCATACCTATCTTATCAGTTATTTATGCTTAATTTAATGTCTAGATTATTATCTGACATTTGATATGTAGGTACAGATGGAAATAAAACATACCTACATACACATATATTATTTAATTTGTTTATCTTATGGAATGAAGAATGTTACTTATCATAAACAATTTATTTACTTTTTAAGATTGGCTCTTGATTCAACTAACCTAGTGTTTAATAAAATTTAGTAAGAAATAATTTAGTAACTATATTATATTATTAGGATATTTTTTTAATATTCAATTTAATAAATTGTCAATTTTGTTCAATTGTTGTAAGTTTCGAATGATGCCTGGTCTAAATTATTTAAATAATAATAAACTTGTTAGTATACATACCTATCATGACAACTAAAATTTTGTAATTAGTTATGCAGAGTACCTACCTAGACACCTATTGTACAAAGTAGGCAGAAAAGTATTTTTTTATTTTCTAAGTCAGTTGCCTACTAATTTAAAATACTTGTAACTAAGTACCATTGTAAATATATTTTTTTACGCGGGGAATGCTTATCGCGCCATACCCTCCGTTTGGAAAACGGAGGACGTGTGTGGGACTCCCGGAGAACCGCGGCGGCTTACCTCGGCAGTCGGGAGGAGCTCCAGAAACGCATCAGCGGCTTCTGGAGTCCTCCCTGCCGTACCACGATTGAGCCACATCCCGTACCTAATATTTATCACTAGAAGGTACTGGGTAATATTTTAAATACTAGGTATCAAAAATAAGTATCAATTAACTACCTAATGTCTTAATAAGTATAGGGTTATGCATATTTTATTATCTGATGCATTGTAGAAATTATGTCAATCTTAACTGTATATAGTGAAACAGTAAATGACTATTTGATTATTAGCTATTTATATCATAAAAACAATCGCCCTACATTTATGTACCAAACTGTTGACATGATTAATTATTAACATCTACCTATAATGAGATTTAACATAAAATATTATGTTATGTCACCCCTAATGATCATCGGCTCTTCGCATATTTTTCCCTTGACTTAAAGGTCTTAGTTACCAGGTCATTAAATTCCACAAAAAAAAGCATATTTTTCTAACTACCTAATCAAGTTTAATGTCAATCGGTTTAAAGGTCGCGCAGGTGGAGAAATTAAAATCCGCAATTTCCTTAATTTGAAACTCATTAGTAAACTTACTTGTTTATCGTGTTCTGTCCTTGTTCATCTGTGATTCTGTGGCCCACCAAACACCCTGGAGTTTCAGACTTCTCTGAAACATGATGATCTTCAATATCTTCTAATATTGCTGCCCGATCCGCATTTGTTTTATTCAACTTATCACTGGACAAACTTTTAGATCTATATCTCCCATTTATTGGCGCCAAACTTTTATCAGTAATTGCACTAAAACTATTTAATTTCAATTCATTTGCATATTTATCGTTAATAATTATATTAGATGACATCGTACTAAACTATTCGCGCACGTCAACAAACTTGTCGATCTCAGCTGCGACGCGATGCGACTGACGTTCCGCGGAGTAAACCAAACGTTTTGCCGAACAAAACAATATAGCATGCGACCCGGTTTAAAAGTACATTGCACGTCATTGTAAAAGTAACCGCAAACGGTATATTTAATTTAGTCGATTAATAACGTGATCCGCAAAAGTTTTTTATTTCAATGTCGGAATCGGAACGTAAACAAGAATAGCACGAGACTATTGTGCGATGTACCGCAATCACCGGAGCTCATCTTTAACAATTAGATATAAAAGGAAGTGAAGTTATTCAATAAACACGGAACACTTTGTCTCTCTATAATTATTTATTTTATTTAGATCAAGACTACGATGTGTCACCGTTATCTTACGTAGGTACATTAGTAGGCCTTGGATTGGCATTTTCTTTCGAAATAAGGTTTTCTTATACGATTAAAGTATTTAGATATGTTTTAGAAACATTGACTACAACAAATACCGGGGTCACAGATTAATGGAATGAAACTGGGCCGTACCTACATATACTGGGTTTCTGATAACATTATATGTACAGTATATTATGTAGATGGCACAGTTAAGTAAACTAGCTAACTCGTATGTACATTTCTACGTCACTAGCTCTTGGAATATAAATTTGAAAGAAGAAAATAAAAGTTAAATTGACATAACTCATTAAAAATAAAACGTGACATCGAACGATAGTAGACACCGGGGTTATTAAAGAACTCTAGAAGTGTAAGGATTTTTGTTTTATGTTTCATTTTATTAATGTCATAAGAGAGCAATTCGAAATTATAAAAGAAAAACACGCGCCGCCCGGCAGAATTAGTGAATCACAAAAAATGAATTCTTTTTTTGTAACACTGGCCGGGTTCATTACTTTTTTTTAATTTTAGGTCTAATTTGAAAATGGAACATTAGTCGACAGTCAGTGTTTTAATTCGTTTGTTTTAATTTTTCATTCATACATCTCTATCGACTGCTACGAAGTTCATTTTCTGTTTTTGTAAAGTTCGTAAATTTCATTTGAATAACATTGTATTGCAGTTTTATGATTCGTTTGTGTTTTCTCGCATATTGATCAGTTACGAGCATCTAAGTATGCCTGATTTAACGCTATCAGAAATCATTAGGGCAGATGAAATGAGAAGAAAATGTCAATCCCACAGATCGATTGCTACAAGACTTCGTCGATCGTTATCAACGATTCAACGTAGCATCCATCCAATTATGGTCTGGGGAGGGATATGATTAGGAGCTCGCATGGAGTTGGTGGTAGACGACGGCGGGAATCTGACTGCTGATCGGTATATCAGGGAGATTTTAGAAGAACACGTTGTGCCATTCGCCCCTTTATGGGCAACGACTTCATTCTAATGCAGGATAATGCTCGGGCTCACAGTGCTCGCTAAGTACAGGCATACCTAAACCATATTGGTGTAACGGTGATGGAGTGGCCAGCACGGTCTCCGGATATGAATCCAATTGAACACGTTTGGATCCTGCTCAAAAGGACTGTCAAATCAAGAATGCTATCTTCCAGCAATCTGGGGCGAGTTGCGAAACACGTTACTTGAAGAATGGCAGAGGTTGCCCTAAGAAATAATTGACAACATCATCCGCAGCATGCCTAGACGGATGGAAACCCTCGGGCAAAGACTCGATATTAAACATACATTTAATTAACTGTAAGGCGTCACAAAATCTCAAATTTTAACTGTTTCTCTGTCATTATGAAATTTAAGAAAAATGCATTTTGTTTACTTGACTTTTTTTTTCATGAAACTAAGTATGGTGCATGCAAATTATTTTAGTGAAGAACAAGTTTGTAGTGAGTGCGTGTTAATTCGTTAAAATAAATAACATCCTGTCACTATTTTATAAACTATTATTCTTTTATACAATTAAGTTGGTGGTTAGTAAGCTGCCAGTACCATGGAGGTTGTCCTATCGGCCTTTCTCGTTGCGCTTATGTCTCAATGACCAGCAACAACGAAAAAAACTTCGCAATGCTTAGGGTTTTTTAATGTGAAGTAAAGTACTGGATCAACTGTGGCAACTTCAATTCCAGTATATCTATACTACGTTTAAACTTCTTAAAAAATACAATTTCTATGTTTATGGCTAATCTAACCCAATATAATAAAAATAGGAGGTTCTTGTCTTTGGAGCCATCACCACCGGTGTCTCGGTTCCTGTTCGGGTTCGATGGTCTACAATTTTATATTTTTTTAATTATTATTTATTGATTTAATTAAAATGCGTGTAATGACTGGCAGCGGATGGATGCAGATTGCCCAAAATCGGGATGATTGGCGCTTCTTGGGAAAGGCCTTCATTCAGCAGTAAACGGCAATAGGCTGATGTTTGATAGATTGATTTCGATTTCCAGGAGGTTGTGGCGGCACCTGTGTTTAAGGGGTACAGATCTAGATGTACGCTGTCATCTTGCATCTAGTTGCCCTAAGCGTAGTATAGGAAGTGAAGACGAGAGGCCTCAGAAGATTAGGGTGGCTAATAGCACTGCCCACTATCGCAGTAGAAAATTTCATGGTAACGCAAACGCATTATCAAGAAGACCTGGTCCTGAGGAGTACAAGCACTGTACCAAACAAGAAGTAAAGAAAGCTGTGCCTGTAAGGACGTTAAAGACAGATCTTAACAATGAATGAAAGGAAAGCGATGAGATTGAGGATGCCAATATCAAGCCGATTCTCGAGTGGCTTAAAGCTGATACTCCTAAGAATCACTGGAGCGATATTGCGTCTATGAGTTCGACCAGGAAAAATTATTGGGCTCAATGGGATAGTTTAGTCATCCAGGACGGAGTCTTGTGCCGCAAATGGGAAAACGCTAGTTGGTGCACCCTGTGAAAGGGTTGCAATAGACATATAGTGTCCGTGCAGGAGAGGGCGAAAGCGGCGGTGGCCGTCATTCACAAGGTGGCCACCAAGTCCGTGAACCTTAAGGGCTCGTTTGTGAGGGCCCTTAAGGACTCCTCCTCCGCTTTGTCGGAGGTCGTGGAGGGCCTAGCGGGCGACGTCTCTCGCCTGCAGGTGGCCAACGAGAGGCTGACGGAGCGGGTGAACGAGCTGAGCGCTCAGTTCGCCCGCTTCCAGGCGAACCTCCCCGAGCGGGAAGCCCCGTCCGCGTCCCAGCCTGCCCCTACCACCAACTCAGGGGCATTTGACTCCCAACTGCGAGAAATCCTCATCGCAGTTGGGAATATGCTGGACGGACGCCTGGCGGGGCTGGAGGCGAGACTGCCCCCTGCGCCGGTTGTGCGCCCCCCGCTCGCGTCGGCACAGCGGCCTAAGGCCGCCGCTCCGACCGCGCTCCCCGTAGTGGGAGGCCGCGTCTCCTACGCGGCGGCGGCGTCTGCCCCGACTCCATCGGCTCCCCAAAAGCCGAGGAGGGGGGCCAAGGCACCGGCCCAGGCGCCGGCCAAGGCACCGTCCCAGGCGCCGGCCAAGGCGCAGGCCAAAGTGCCGGCCAAGACGGGGCCTAAAACTGCGCCGAGGAGCGGAGTGGCATTCCCTCCGCTCCCCACTCCGACACCCCTGCCGGGCCCCTCCGCACCTGCCCCCTCCAACGAGGGCTGGCAGGAGGCGAGGGGCTCCAAGAAGTCCCGAAGGCGGGCCAAAAAGGCTGCCAAAAAAGCAGCCCAGGCCCAGCCTTCGCCACCGGTGGCAACGGCCTCCACAAAGAGGCCGCGGAAGCTGCAGCCGCCCAAAACCGCGGCTGTAGTGGTGACCGTGTCCCCGGAGGCGGCGGACGGCGGGCTGTCCTACGCGGCCGTGTTTAAAAAGGCCCGGGACAGCCTCGCTAACGACTTTGGAACGGTGGGGGTCAGGATGCGCCTCGCCCAGACGGGAGCTCGAGTCCTCGAGTTCCCTGGGGCTGAAGGCGCAAAGACGGCGGACTCCTTCGCCGAGAGGCTGCGGGGAATATTTGCGGCCACTGATGGTGTCAGGGTCGCCAGGCCTACCAAGTGCGCGGAACTGCGCATCTCGGGCCTGGACGACTCAGTGACGGCCGAAGATGTCCGCGCTGTAATCCGGGAGAAGACGGGGTGCAGCGCGGACAACGTCAGGGTCGGCACCATCCGCCCCGGTCCAGGAGGGCTTGGCGCCGTGTGGGTCAGCTGTCCCGTAGCGTCGGCCAAAGTATTGGCCGACGCCGGCAGGCTGCTCATCGGTTTCGTGAGCGCCAGGATCACAGTCCTGGCGGCGAGACCGATGAGGTGTTTTAAATGCTTGGCCACGGGACACACGCGCGTCAAGTGCGACAGTTGTTTTGACTGCGGCGGACTGTGTTTCCGCTGCGGTCAACCGGGGCATAAGGCGGCAGAATGCTCTGCCGCCCCTCACTGCCCAGTGTGTGCGGCGGGCAATAAGCCCGCCAATCACCAGATGGGGCAGAGAGGCTGCAAGCCTCCCCGCAGTTCTCGGCAGACGTCGGGGCTTAGCCAGTCGACCCAGGCTGCCTCCGATATAGTTCGTGCGTCGACGTCGTCGCCCATGGAGGAGGTTGTAGAGACGATCCAGTAATGGATCAAGTCTCCAACCTCCTGGTCCAGACGAACCTGAACCACTGTGCCGCGGCGCAGGATCTCTTCCTGCAAACCATGGCACAGTGGTCGATAGGTGTTGCCGTAGTCGCGGAGCCCTATTCTGTCCCTCCCCGTCCAAACTGGATGGGTGACTGGGACGGCTCCGTGGCAGTCGTCGGTTCCACGACGGCTCATTCCCCGCCCTTGTCGCTAAGAGACAAGGGCACTGGATATGTTGCCGTCGAGTGGGGGGGGATCACCATATATGGTGTCTATTTCTCCCCCAACCGGAGTTTGAACGACTTCGAGGTTTTCCTGACCAGCTTGGAGACCTCGATACGGCGACTAGCGTCTGGGCACGTCCTTGTGCTGGGGGACTTCAACGCAAAGTCCATTGCGTGGGGTTCCCCCA